CCCCCCCCCGTTAGGGCTCCATCCTGCTGGGCGATAAAGGCGTCCGTTTGTCCGGCCCCAGCATCATTGGGACCAACGGGATCATCCACATGATGGAGGGGCTGCTGTACCCCCCCTCCATCCTGCCCATCCTCCCCCACCGCTGCGACTCCAACCAGAGCAAGATCACCATGGTGATTCCCCAAAGCCGACCTATCCCGCGCAGCGCTCAGCCAATCGGGGCTTTTGGTCGCCAGCCAGGAACCCTCAGCTGCTCGTTAGCCCGATGCTTCAGTTGGAAAGCCTGAGAATAAACCAGAATCAGATATACTTTAATAATCCCAGAGGGAAATTATTAAAGTATTATATTATCATAATGATTCATTGATAAATGATGAATATTATTATTTATTTATGAGTTATTATTAATATTTAATTTTTCAAGTATTATATTATCATAATGATTAATTATTTATTTATTAATTAGTTATTATTATTATTATTATTATTTATAATTATTTTATTTTATGTATTTATTCAGAATCTGAATGAATGATGAATGATGAATATTATTATTTATTTATGAGTTATTAATAATATTTAATTTTTAAAGTATTATATTATCATAATGATTAACTACTGATTTATTAATTAGTTATTATTATTATTATTATTATTATTATTATTTATAATTATTTTCTTTATGTATTTATTCAGAATCAGAATCAGAAATACTTTAATAATCCCAGAGGGAAATGATTCAAGTATTATATTATCATAATGATTAATGATTTATTATTTATTATAATATTTATTAAATAGTTATTATTTATAATTATTTTATTTATGTATTTATTATTGGATTATTATTATGTATTAATTATTTATTTGTATTAGTATTATTTATTATAATTATTTTATTTATTTATGTATGGATTTATTTATTTGTCATTAGTTTGTATTAATGATGTATTTGTCTTATTTATTATAATTATTTTATTTATGTATTTATTTATTATTATTATGTATTAATTATTTTAATATTATTATTACTTATTATATTAATAGTACAAATATGATATTTATTGAGTCACAGGTAAAGTAAACCAGCTGGGCTCAGACCCACAAAGCTCCCGGAGGGTCTCAGTCAGTAAGAGCCCTGAAATCCGGGTGTTATATAATAGATAGATAGTAAATATAGTAAATATATATCAGGTTGTGGAGCTCACAGAGTCCGTTTGCCTGTTTCAGGGTCCCTGTGTCCACTGCAGCTACCTCCACCAGACGCACTGTCCAGAGGGCAGCACCGAAATGGTAAATCAGACTAGCCTCCATCTTTGCACACCCAGCAATAAAAAAAAACAATATATAATATACAGAAAAGTCCAGCTCAGGCAGCTGGAGGTGAAGTCTGAGGTTCTTTCTTTTCATTTTTTGGTTGTTTTGCTGCCTTTCTTTAACTTATTCTTGGTTGTTTTGCTGCTTCTTTAACTTATTTTTTTGGTTTGTTTGCTGCCTTTCCCACTTATTTCTTTTTTTTTTATTTTAAATATTTCTTCCAGTTATTTTTCATTGTTTATCTGCTTTTTCCACTTATTCTTAATGATTTTTCTCCCTTTTCCACTTAATTTTGGAAAATTAAGTGTTTTTGTTTTTGTTTTGCTGCTCCTTTGACTTTTTTTATTTTATTTGTTTGCTGCCTTTTCCACTTATTTTTAAAAAATTTATATTTCTTCCAGTTATTTTTCATTGTTTATCTGCTTTGTTTATCCGTTTAAGTTTGTTTTTTAGGGTTTTTTTCTGTTTTTGCTGATCTGTGATGCCGTTTTTCTTCAGGAGGCTCATCAGATCGGCTGTGAGTACGTGACCAGTCCTCTGAGGCAGAGTCTCAGCAAAGGCTGCGCCAAGTACTGCAACACCACCAAACAGGTGAGGGGGGGGGGGTTAAACAGGTGATAACCAAGTGTGTTTAACCTCTGGAGCCCCAGTTAAATAACAACACAGACATTTAGCATCCACAGAGAGGCCCGACTCAGCAAAAACCCCCATTCCACAAACACAGATCAAGCTATAAACCGTCAAAATCCAGCAGGTTTCATGGAGCTGGGACCAGGATTCACTGAAAAACAGCAGAAAAAGATCGAGGTTCTGTTTCAGGAACAGAAATGCTGCCTTACCTTTGCTGTCCTGCTGCCAGAAACCAGATCAGAGCACATTTAGGGAACAGCCCCCCCCCAGAAAGCTCAGAGAGCAGTTTGCTGTTAGCCTGAGTCTATTGGAGGAGAGGATTCAAAGCAGGGCTCAGTCATCCAGACGGGCCAATGGGAGCAGGGCTGCTGTCCCATGTGACCTGAGAAAGGAGAGGATACTGTGTGGGATACATTTAAATGGAGGACCATCTGAGTGGGGAATTCTTTAGAAAAACCACTGAAAAATCAGCTTTTTAGGCTCAAACAGAGTCTGGAAACACTCAGAATAACTCCAGTATTGAACTTAACAGCTTTAAAAGGGCTGAGGAGCGATGCAAAAATCCACTGAGAGTCTCACAGATGAAACACGAACTAGCAAAGAAGGGGAAAACTGAGGGAGCTAAAATACTGGGCAGATGAGATGGGAATGAGTTACAGCTGAGAACTCAGGTGTATAGAGAGCAGGGCGGGAAAACAGGGCAGAAGGTAAAAGGTGGACCGGAACGGGTGACTCGAGTAAAACAAAAGGTGGCTGAGGGGCGAAAGGGAATGGACTGGGCAAAAATGGTCAAAACTGTGACAGATACTCAAAAAAGTATTGATACTAAAACGTTGTATCCGGATAGGATGCTCATTTTCAAAAGTATCGATACCACCCCCCTTCTCTTTGATTTATTTATTGATTGATTAACGTTGTTTATGATCATTAACGTGACGTTAGCCTTGAATTGCTAGCTGTGGCTAACGGCTAACGATAGCACGCCAACATTAATACAGGATAACATCAGTAACAGGTCGGTTTGAAACCAAAGACACTAAGACACTAACCTGTCCAAAGTCAGTTAAATTTTGGGGTCTTTGTTTTTATTCTTGTGGTATTGAAAATGGTATAGAATATTTCCTGAGTATCGGTATTGAGTTGAACATTTTAGTATCGTGACAACCCTGGTCATCACCCTGAGCCATGGTTCTGCTCGAGGTTTCTGCCTGTTAAAAGGAAGTATTTCCTTGCCTGTGTCGCCTAGTGCTTGCTCATGGTGGGAATTGTTGGGTTTCTGTAATTAACTTCAGAGTAGGGTCTGACCTGCTCTGTTTGGAAAGCTGTGAGACAGCTGTTGTTGTGATGTGGCGCTATATAAATAAAATTGAATTGAATTGAATAAGTGGAGGCCTGGTTCCTGGCCCGTGTGTGTGTCGGGTTTTTCAGGTGGCAGAGTGCTGCAAAGGCTTCTTCGGGTCGGACTGCAAACCCTGTGTGGGCGGGTTCCAGCATCCCTGCTACGACAAAGGAGAGGTGAGAGCTAGAGGCTGACATTTTTTCGGGAATCCTGCAGAATGGGAGTCATCTTTGCTATTGATCACGGGATTTGGACGGTACGGGATAAATGGTTAACGGGAGCAGACGGGAGCGGGAATCAACCAATAGCAAAGACGAGAAAAAAAGTAAAATGCACCATTTTGTAGTTTCCTTTTAATATGCCTACAATGTAACGCAATTAAAATATAACTACATGACCCAGCCGTCCCAGAAGCCATCAGGGCTTTTTGTCACGGCTTACCGCCGGAATTCAAAGAGCAGTGATGGAGGGAGCTAAAAAAAAATGTTTTACAGCACAAAGTCAGAAGTAATGACATGTCTATTAAGTTCACAGAACTGGTCGGAAAGTCTGAAATATTATATAAGTTTATGAGAGGAGAATGTGACGGTGCTAGCACGATGTACGCTGCTGGTAAGACTAAACACTAATTGAAGAAAAAAAAAATATGGGAGCGGTACAGGAGCGGGAGTCAGTTTGAAATCATCCTATTTCACCTAATTGGTCTAAAATGATTTTTTGATAAGGAATTAATTATCTGCTAATAATACGCCATTTTTGAGTGTCTGTGCTGTACTAATAACTGGTGGCGTAATCATGTAATAATTCCTTATGACTAGATTTTGTTTATAATTTTGTTTATTGAAGTGGACATGTTAAGTGTAATTTGAAAGAAGAAATATAAAATAAGATAAAAATACATTTTTGTGTTTATTTGATTCCTATTCAAGACGCTTAGGATAAGATAAGAATAACTATAGTGTTACTATAGGCGGCTACAGATTTGTTTGACATTTTTGGTTGGTGGTGTGCCTCTGGATTTTTTCAATGAAAAGATGAACCTTGGCTCAAAAAAGGTTGAAAAACACTGCTCAATGAATCTGCTCCCTGTTTGCAGTGCTCTGACGGCATGGCGGGGAACGGCTCCTGCAGCTGCCACTCAGGGTTCAGGGGCCTGTTCTGCCACATCTGCAGCCACCCGGCGCGCCACGGAGAGAACTGCGACGAAGGTACCGGCAAAAAGAGCCTCTACCGGAACCCGAAACACGCCCCGGGGCCATGAAACCCGGGGGCAGGAGCCCAGAGAGAGGACAGGAGAGTTTAATAACAGAGGAGAGAAGAACAAAAGAGTCTAAAAAAAGAGGAGAGAAGAACAAAAGAGTCTAAAAACCAGGGAGACCAGGACCCCGATCGGTCACATGACCAGGACCTGAATCAATCGCATGACCCCAATTGGTCACATGACCAGGACCGGTCACATGACCCGGACCAGTCACATGAATTGGGCCGGTCACATGACCAGGACCCGGACCGGTCACATGATCAGGACCTGAATCTATCACATGACCCGGACCGGTCACATGACCTTGGCCGGTCACATGACCCGGTCACATGACCCGGCTGTCACATGACAAGGACCTGGGCCGGTCACATGACCCGGACCAGTCACATGACCAGGACCTGAATCTATCGCATGACCAGGACTGGTCACATGACCAGGACCCGGACCGGTCACATGACCCGGACCTGAATCAATCGCATGACCCCAATTGGTCACATGACCCGGACCTGAATCAATCGCATGACCCCAATTGGTCACATGACCAGGACCTGAATCAATCGCATGACCCCAATTGGTCACATGACCAGGACCTGAATCAATCGCATGACCCCAATTGGTCACATGACCCGGACCCATCACATGACCAGGACCTGAATCAATCGCATGACCCCAATTGGTCACATGACCAGGACCGGTCACATGACCCGGACCAGTCACATGAATTGGGCCGGTCACATGACCAGGACCCGGACCGGTCACATGATCAGGACCTGAATCTATCACATGACCCGGACCGGTCACATGACCTTGGCCGGTCACATGACCCGGTCACATGACCCGGTCACATGACGAGGACCTGGGCCGGTCACATGACCCGGACCAGTCACATGACCATGACCAGGACCCGGACCGGTCACATGACCAGGACCTGAATCTATCGCATGACCCCGATCGGTCACATGACCTGGACCTGACATGACCAGGACCAGTCACATGATCCAGACCGGTCACATGACCAGGACAGGTCACATGACAATGACAACAAAAAAATGCAGGAAAT